CTCTGGAAATCTTCAATCTTAGGCAAAAATGGCCGCTCCCAGACTCAGTAATTGTGACGAAAATTATTGTTGTTATTTTTTTTTTACTGATTAACAGTAAATTCATTAAATAATCATTAAATTAGTTTTAGGTATAAATAGTGATCCATTGATTATTCTTTGCTGACCAGACTTTTTCTTTAACATCATCATCTTCCCAAATTAATAAGAGGAATCTCAGTTTAAACTTGAAGAAAGTGAAAACATTTCTCATTAAAAAGTGATTAAGCAAATGGTTCCCCTAGCTGAGCTATGGTGAGGAGATTATTGTGTTTTTGTCCAGTTGATCAACCTGGTATTTACAGAGAAATGTTGTCATTTGGATGTGATTTTATCCACATGTGGAGCAACGACTGAAACGGCATCGACATCATGAGAGGAATGAAGTGGCTAAAGGCAGCTGCTGAGGACTCTGACTGTCACATACAGGCCATGTGGAGATGATTGTCACACAACAACATCTTAAGAGTTCATCGCATTGCTTCTTGTCTGAATATTTTGTCATTTTATGTCTTGAACCTCAGAATGTTTCCTGTTTTTTTTTTTATTGGCTCTCTATCTTGTTCAAACTATTTTTAATATCAGACAAACTTTAGTAAAAACTGAGCTATCTAAACTTGCCTGAAATGAAAATATAACCGCTCCACTGATAGATAGTAAATTAACCACATTTTTAATTTTTATGTCACTAGTAGCTCGTTTTTCTGACAGTAGGCACACAGGAAAGGCGGTATGAGAGATAAATGCAGCAAAGGAGCACAGGTTGGATTCAAACCCGGGTCGGCCGCATCGAGGACTAAGGCCTCCATACATGGGTCGTTCGCACTAACCACTTCTCCACCTGTACACCCAAATTAGCCACATTTATTGGTGCGGTAGCACTAGCATCATCTGATATTACTGCTATTGCACCTGTAGAATGAAATATCACTTAAATAAAATATCTCTGGCATCATGAAGTAGATCATCATTTATAAAAAAAAAGATGAGAAACAAAATCATTGCCAGCTATCAGTCTGAGAAGATCTACAAACCAGTTCATTTGCCTGAGAATCACAAAGAGAGTTGTTAAGAAATGGAAAAAAGATGGAAGGTTTTCCAGCAAGCGTTTTTTTTTTTACTGAAATTACTCAAAGAGAGAATCAACAGCTCTTTCAGGAGGTAACAGAAGAACAACTAAAGGCTGAGGCTGAACAGACTGGGCAAATATGGCGTCCATGCAAACTCACTTCCAACCAAGACCCATCTCACATTTGACAAAAACATCTTCAGGATGGCAGAACCCCTTAATAAAGAAAGGTTTGGACATAAAGACATAAGAGCTCAGCCTGTTCTGTAAAGCATGTCTGTAGCTACTGTCGTTCTCAGAATGGCTCAATGAGCCAAAGGTCCGATCTCAGAGAGCTCCAGGAAACGTTTGCACCTAAATCTGGTTTAACTACTAATTGTTTATCTGTGGAGCTGACAGACAGGCAGACAGACGGACAGACGGAAAGATGGACAGACAGACAGACGAATAGACAGATGGACAGACGGACAGAAAGTCAGAAAGCCGGACAGGTGGACAGACAGACTGTAAAACAGACAGATGGACAGACTGGTGGACAGATGGACGAACAGGTGGACAGATGGACGGACGGACAGATGGAAAGACAGACAGACAGGCCGTTAGACAGACAGACGGACGGATTGACAGACAGGGTACCGTTGCGTCCTCAGTGACGAGGCTTCCCGGGTTACAAGACAGATCAAGATGAGTCAGAGACGTGGAAAACTGCTGGCAGGAGGACAACACCTGGCTGAGACAGCCAAGACCTATAAATCAAAGATGAAGAGTTGGATTATGGGAAAGTCTGTGTTTCAAAGATAGAAATCACATTATAGATCTCTAAAAAACTCTATAAATGTGATTACTGATTAATCTTGACCTGAGACACAAACATCAGTTCCCAGCTGCCTCTTTCTTAATCTAATGTATCACCAGGCTGCATTTGTACCTTTGGAGCTCATGGAGACCCGGCTCAGGGAGAGGACCTGCAGTCCCTCATTCAGGTGCTGGATCTCCTGACTGAGGGCGATGACACCTGATGGAAAATGTCAGATTCAGAACATCTACCAGATGCAGAGCTGAGGCAAATAAACACAGTAAAGCAGAAAATATCATCACTCTGTGTTTCACTACAACATCCATCCCATTCCAAGGCTTATGCGAGTAAATGAGATGCTAAGGGAGCACCTTTGTCTTCCACCGAGTTGCCCGACAGATTGATGGCTTGCAGAGCAGAAGGTGGGCCTTCATGGAGGGCAGTGGCCATTTTCACAGCAAAGTCCCTAAAGCAGAATAAAAAAGATATTTCCTGTGAGCTTTCAGGGACGGAGGGACATTGCTGAACAAGAACCATGATTCTGGAACATTAACTTCAACGTTTAGCACTGAAAGAGATTTGCTTTCCAGGTTCTTCACCTGAGCTAAAGTCCTGCATTCAATCCTTGAACTTTGAAAAAAGCTCTCTATTCTTCCTTCCAGTTCAACCTTTTTTATAACAACAGTTTCATACCGGATGAAGAGAATAAAGCTAAATATGGGTAATATTTATTTATTTTAGCAGTAATTAATCTCTGGTAATTCTGTTAGTGCAAGGGCGTAGGTTTGATTTCAGACACTATTGGTCTGATGTCATTGGTCCTATGCAAAAATATGCATTCTTGTTTTTTTATGCTTGATGTGAAAATCAGGGCCCATTTCGTTAAAAGAAAAAAGCAGCATTTCTTGCTATATTTATTTAAAAAAATATAAGCACTACACACACTAGATGAGGTTTGTCAATGTTTGAAGCATCATCAGCTCTACTGAATGTGGAATTAGGACTTTTTTTCACTTTGAAAAGGTTTGCATTTAAAATGATTAAGCCATAAGGTAAATACCTGCCTATTTAACCAAATATAGTCTAAATATGTCTTTTACATGTGGATTTATCTTATATTTTCTTTTGAAGATATAGAATTGTGCAGAGGTAAACAGAGGTAAAACCCACTCTTATCTTTTATAAGCTGTCTTAATATCATGAAACAAAGTAAAATAATACATTAAAGGAATGCCAAATGTATTTACATGAGCGTTTAATATATTATCTTCACTATAGATGTTGTACATTTGGGCTGTAGTTACTTTGTTTAACTCATTTCATGTATTTTATCTAGTACTGAAACAATTAATAATAAATAAATAATTTAGCAATCAATTAATCGTTATCTTGAGTATAGAGACTCTAAAACGTGCCTTTAGCTGACAGTGACCCACTTAGAGCAGGAATAATACCAAAATTGTAAAAAAAAAAAATAATTTTTGCATTTTAGATAAAGAATGTTTTGGTCTTTCAATATTCTCCATCCAGAACTCCTCTACTGCTGCAACAACGCTGTATTGTATATTATAAACATGCTATTCAGAGTGATTGTTGGTAGGGACAAGTAGGTTGGTCCAAAACTTTGTCCCTATGGTCCCGATGCAAACCTACGGCCATGTGTTAGTGATACAGATGACAGAGCCATGGCTCCTCTAACCATTTCCACCAGTAAAGAACTCACACTTTTAACCCACATTCCTCCAGGGAGAGTTCCTCCAGAGTCGAAGATTTGGAGAGCAGGAATGTCAGCTGCTGCTGGACGTCAACTGACTGGGAGGAAAGAAGCAGAAATGATCAAGTTCCATATAAGCACTTAGGAAATGTCCTTACATGCTGAACTCTTCAGAAAACCACATGGATGCACATAAACTCCTTCCAGAATGCAGGAACGTGACTTCATTAGCAGATTGTTTGTGGATTAGATAGAATGATCCCGGTGTTCTGTCAGATGAGCATACCCCGTCAGACAATACCTAATTATCCCAATAGTTTATCTCTTTAGTTTTTCCATTTAGTTTTGTACGAAAACTAAACTTTAAACTACCTCGGGCATGTATCCCTTTTTTCATGTACAAAATAACAATGTAATTACTTACTTTAAGATGATTCAAATTACAAACTATATTTTGGGACAATTATCCTCATTTAATTTGTATACTGTTATTCAGAAAAGCGACTTTTAAAAACAACCAGGCAGTAGAAGCTGTAAGGCCATTAAATAATCACGATTGCCACTCATGTTCCGAAACTTTATATGTGAATTAAATCCAGTTCAGCTCCCAAACTATAAATTGCAAATACAATTGTTTGTATTTGTGTGACAGAAAGGCATTGAGGAATATTTTTCAGGTGGAATCACTATTTTAAATGTCACCATGTCTGATTTATAGGTGATTAAACAAAGAAAAAATGAAAAATATTTTGCCTCACCAAAATGTTTTCAAAATAAACTCTGCAAAACACCATGAAAGCCCATTAGAAACTCTGGTTGAACCCTCAGACGTTATAGATCCACATCTTGACTAGAACTCAAGCTAATTTGGGCCACAAATGTTTTAGTGGGCGGTGTGCTAGGAGGAAATTTGCTTTTGGCACAATGCCAAAAGTGGGCAAATTATGCAAAAATGCATTTTTCCACTTATAAAAGGGAATCTATGATGAAAACCTAAGATTTAGCCGTTGGTTCATTGAAATTTACCAATAATATCACCAGACTGAATAAAAAATAAGAATAACACAGCAGCTTTTGTAACGCATGCTGGTTACATCACCTGAAACGGTCGCACAATGACCTCTGACCCCTCCTTGGAAAGGTCTGAACTTCTACCGCGTTTCTCAATATGCGTTCTTGAGCGTTCCCGTGTGCTCGTGTACTCGTGGCACGTCATCAGCCTCAGCCCGAGTACCGTTCCAATTCTCGAGAACGCCAGATGGAGAACGCATCAAATCCCCGGATGTTGTTCTCACCCCGCCCTCTTTATCGAGCATGCATCAGAGCAGACTTGTGCGTTCTTCA